TATAAAAACAAATTTTCTGGTGCTATGACTAACATTACAGTGTTGTTGAAGAATACAGCAAAAGGAGGGATATTTGTATTTTTTTCTTTTTAATTTCTCTAAATAAATGGGTCTGTGTAAGTGTTAAATATTTGTAATTAAACACATCTATACTTGAATATTTAACTATGGCAGCATCTGAATTTTTTTTCTTGTGGAAAATGTGTATTTTTTCTTTTAAATAACCCATTTTTACTTTTTGGTTGTGAAGCTGTCTATTATTTCTCAGTTTGTCATACAAATACATTTAAATCTTTCTCTGCAAAATGTATCCTGTCTGTCTGAAAGGCAAAGTTAGGATTTTTTTGTGGACAGATGAGGTAACAGAAGTATTGAGAGAGACCACACATACCTGCAGTATTATCTGTATGTTACTGACAACCACTTCTGTATTTCTCAGGCATCTGATTCTACCCGTTTTTAGCCAACTGACATTTCCCAGTGCTTGATGAAGAGTGAGGCACGTGTCAAAATGAACTGAAGCTCCAGTCTAGAATTAGGACACTAAAGGATGGGGAATGTCTAGAAGCTCTGATGAGACCAAATATTTCCCTAAGTCAGGGGTTTGCATGCCCTTTTAGGTAATTCGTGTTTCGAGGAGAAGTCAGGGGACAAAGAGTAAGCTGGATAACTTCACTCTCATAGCTACACTTAAATTACTGTGTATCAGCAGCAGTGAAGTTGTTACTTTTGTATGCCAACCAACATGTATAAGCTTATGTCTTCATCCTTCAAGATTAGAGTATCTCATGATGCTGCATCTTGGGCTGCACCTTGTATTGATTTAAGCTAAAAGTACTAGAGAAGTCATGTACTTGCCTAAATGGAGTTTCTCACTTGCATTTCAGATTGAACTCTATAGTGACAAGAAATATCTTCGTTTTGTCATCATGCCCTCTGTGTCAGGGCACTCTGTTTCTGGTTTAGGATCTTTGGTTGATACCTCAAGAGAATGATGACACAAATACCTTCTCAGGCTGGCTTTAAGCCCATGATGATGAGAGTTATTCTCAAATCATTGTTTGGAGGAAAGTATTGAAGTTACTGGTAAATTTTCCAAATTTTAAGATCTTCAAAAGCAGAAGGGGTATTAAGAAGGCTAGTAACTAGCTGTTCTTCAAAGTTATTCTGTTGTATTGTGGCAGAAGAATTGAAACAAACATAACTTGCAATCTGCCATTCTACCTTAGAGAAAAATGTTTGTATGGGATTTCATTGTCAGGACATCATCTCACACGTGTAATAAGAAAAAACAGTGGTGCATATGCAGTTCTATTAGAGTAGGGTCGTAAACGTGTAAGTGGTGTGCTTTGTTTTCCCATACAGTACATGAGAATTGAACTCAGAGATGAGCATTTCAGCAAGAATTACTTCGACATAAAGCATGTAAGTTGAGTCCTTAGGGAAGAACTATGCTACTGCAGCAAACTCAAAAGTAAAACCCATTTCAGAATTACTTTTTTGGATCGTCTTCCATTTGATTTGGCTCTCAAGCAGTTCTTCCTCTTCTTTGATGCTTATGGAAGATAATACTTTGAAGGCTTTCTTCTATACCTGAGCTGATTCATAATGTTGATACTTTACTGGCACTGTAATGAAATAATCTCTTAAGGATATTATTGTGGAAATAGTTAGATGTCCCCAGTTAATGCCTGAAGTAAAAACATTGCCCTGATTGGCCTCTATCCAAAAGTAGCTTGACACCAAGTTCTGCTCAGACAGAAGTTTTTCTAGTTTACAGGAAGAACTTTTACAGGTAGCTATTTTTGCACAAGGATTAGAGAATCGCAGCAGGATAATGAATTGTGTGATACACGTGCAGTAACTAACACCGAGTTCTGGGTTGCTCTTGAAAACTTCTTGGTTACATACAACCATGTGCTGCTGTGACCTCTGCCTAATCTGGTTGCATGCGCATGGTAGCATTAGTCATTGAGTGGGCTTTAATGGAAAGCAGCCTCTAAACAGCTGATTCACACCCACCTGAAAATAAAATGCATGGAGGCATCTTCTGTTTGAAACCTAAGAGCAGTAGTAAAGCTTTCATGCGTAAACTGTTATCATTTTTTTTTTTTGTTCCCCAGAAGGAAGTGGACTTGAGGACTTGTGCTCTTTGTGCCTCCATCTGTGCATTTTCCCTGAATCATTTCCTAAAGTAACTTTTGAACCTATTGAGAACTTAATTAGGTTTGACAGGAAAGTTGTAGTGGAAATTTACTAAGCTTGTACAAATTTAACGGAAACTCATGAGCATGTGGGAGAGGGAAATCCAAAGTATTACCTTAAGGAAGGCAAAAGACATAGCATGAATTCACCACCTGTCTAATCTGCTTGCTGCTCTGCTGGCTCCTCAGTGTGTAGCAACAGGCTGCCTCAACACAGGCATTGTACTACCTTGTACAGACACTGGAACCTGAAATGATACTTGCTGCCTTTTTTCTCCAGCCAGTGGTGAAGCTGCAGGGGCAGAAGTTAAGGGTAGGGTGAGGAGGAGGACATGGTGGGAGATAGGTAGGAGAAACTATGTTGGGGATTGGTAAAAGTGTTTTGGTAGGGGAGCACAGGAGATGTATGTAGCAAGGTAGATCTCCGTGTTGTTGCTATGGGTGGTGCAAAGTACAAAATCCATAGGATGACAGGGTTTTTTTTCTTCACGCAATGTCTTGTTTAGAATAAGCAGTCCACTTGCAATGTACGTGCAGCTTACAAATTGCATGTGAAGTAGATGTAAAACAAATAAACTATCAAGAAATGAGGGAAAAGGTAAACTTTCAACAGTTCCGGTGAAAAAAGATTTAAGAAAATGCACTCATGTAGGTTGCAGGGTGTCTATGGTCAGTGCAGATGTGACTGCAGTTGTGAATGCTGGTTTTAATGTACACAATGTGGGTAAAAATGGCAGTTGTAAGTGGCACACCTCTGATTTTACAGGCTGTACAAACCTGTGGTGGACCCTAAAGGCATATGTGGCTATTTGGCCCACTGTTGAATTTCATGCTGCCAACTGCATAGGTACACCTGCAATTAAAGTAATGCAAGCGTGCCCATTTGTGCTGCGAATGCACCTTCATTTTGCTGTAGAGCTATCCTGCTGGGGCAAACACTGTCTGAGAAAACCTGCGTTGCACTTCATGTGTTCAGAACGCAATGGAAGTTCACTCAGAGCAAAATATTGTTGTCACCATGCTAGTTTTGGAAGCTGGGCTATAGATAGTGTTTTTCACTTTGGACTGTAAAGTTGTTATCAGAGCCATCATTAACTTGTCAATGGTTATCAGTCCTGAGACTGTACATTTGTTTGGACTTTCCCTAGCGTTAAAAAAAAAAAAAAAAAAAGTCCTAGACAGTCTGTGGAACTTGAACTAAGTTGCAGTTCTCTTAAACTCTGTACTGCTGCTGACTTTTTGCAAACATGACTGCATACAACAAACACCAAATTGTCCTGTTATTTTAAAAATTGACCAGAAAGTGTTTTCTAAGTTTTTGTTCATGTAGATCTGAAGTTGTCTCATTTAATCTTAGTTTTCAGTTATGAGCATCTGTCTTTGAAGAGTTAGTAGAGAGCTAACATGGTAAGGAAGGCCACCACTATTACTTAGAAACAACAACATTTGTTTCCTTACCTTCTTATGAACAAATGTGGGAGGATGAAAATGCTGAGATGGTCTTTTGCTCCTCTCTACTGCAAAATAAGTTGTTTATCTTAGATCTCAGGTACTAGGAAGAAGTTAAGAGGGTTGTTGCTATGGCATAGCCATTGTGCTGATACCACTCTGCTCGTGTATGAAGGAAATAACATCTACACGTTAAACAAACTGACCAGGCTGGCTCCAGTGTTTGCTATTTTACCTGAATTGGTTTGAACATACAGTGCTTTCAGTGTAGTTGGTCTGATAATTAACTGTTCTTATTAAGTATTGTCACTTTCCCCAGTAGGAGCAAGGCAGAGAGACCTCTGTGGTTGTTACAGAAGTAGTAAAGCATATGACTGACCACTGTGACATAATCCGAGCTGTAGAAAATTGGATTACAGCTGCCAGCCCACAAAATGCACTGTGCTTTGCAGCCTATGGACCTGTCTAAGCAGTATAGACAACTCGGAAAAGAAAAACACATCTTTCTTTCATGCCATCATATGATGCCTTGCCAGTGTGCTATTGCCTGGAAGTTCTATTCCTGAATCCTTTTTTCACAACTCAGATTTCTTGTACCTGTACTTTCATCCCATCTTGTCTTACACCTCTGTTATCCGTGCTGTTAACTGCATTGATGGACATTGCATCTAACGGGGGAGTAGCTGGGAGAAGTAGAGCATTTCAGAAATCTGTTTTCTAAGCATTTATATCAACCAAGTCTGGAAAGAAAAATTTCTTTTTGAAATACGAGTTAGTGGAATTAACCGTGTAATGCAACTGATCTTTGTAGTGCAAGTATATTATTAAATTATAATATTGAATTCTGTTTTGCAGGAACACAATCTCACATTTCAGACTGGGAATGACCAATATATCTAAATGAACATGTAATTTTCAGTAAACAGAGACCCCATAGTGACCAAAACCAAAAACTGAGAAAAATCATAAATTATGCTAATATCTTTCAGGGATAAAATTCCTCAGCCATCAAAAAATGTAATAACAGTATTCTAGCCTACAGTTTGTTCTGTTTTAGTAATGTCCCAATGGCTGCTCTTTGGTGCCAACTTTGATCTCACTTTCTGCAACAGGAGACAAAGATGATTTTGCCCAGTGGAGTTTAATTTATGCAAACCCACAGATGGCTTTGCAGGGATATGATTTGTTATGTTTCCTAAGTGGATGAGTTTGGTTTTTGAAATACCCTGGCAGCAACAGATTTGTCAATATCTTGCACTGTATTTTTGAAATGGCCTTTCAATTACTTTAATTGTGGTTTGTTTGATTTCCCACCCCCACCCCCTCCTTCCCTTCCCCTCTCTATAGATTCTGGGACTTCTCCAAGCCTAACTCTTTGCTGGAAACAGTCGAGCATCATACTGAATTTACATGTGGACTGGATTTAAGTCTTCACAACTGTGGTCAGGTAAGAGCTGGGATGAATTTACTTTTCAGTTGCCTATTATAGCTACTGTGGTCATGGCTGGACTACAGGATTCAGATCCTGAATAAGAGCCACCAGATTGCAGAAAGCTTCTGGAAGTGAGTCTGGCTTAATGCTTATTAAATAAACCTCACTTCAGGTCCATTTTTATTTATAAAGCAGTTACTTGCGTTGTGCAGGAGAGGAGAGCAGGACAGACAGAACTGCAAAATCAGATAGCCGAAAGCCACAGTGAGCTCAGGGAAAATGAGGTGGTTTTATTTCAGAAGGAAGAGTAATAGAGAAGGGCCTAGAATGCCAAGCTGAGATACAGAGCTTTCTGCCATCTACTTAGAATGTCAAGTTAAACATTGGTAGTGTCACACATGATACCTGGACCTGGTTTGTCATAAGATTTTGAGTACTAGAAGAGGCTTAATATGTAGCTGGAATTCTAAAACCCTCAGCTATTGACGTGAATGAGTGGAACCCATTTTGTCAAGGGCACTTATTTGTGTACTGGTTGTGGTAGGATTCGCCTCTGCTTCTGTTGCTACAATCGTTTTTGTTCTGTAAACAGGGGATTGTTGTTTGTAGTATGAGCTGTTTTTTCAGGCAGGAAAGGCAGAGAAACTAAAGTTGATTATTTGTTTTAAGAGGAGAAAGCCTGTAGTTTTCACACAGAATTACCGTCACCGAGTTATCTGGCACTAATGCCCTATTTAATGTGCCACAGATATAATTTGTGTTTATAATTCACAGTGAAATTAATTTTTTACCCCAGATAAAAATGACTTGTAACATCTATGATGAAATTCTGATTGGACAAAACAAAGAAAACCATCATAATTTCTGCTACTGATAAAAGGACACAGGAGGAAGGTTCAAGTTTGGCAAAATACTTAGCTTAATGTATGTGGAACCATTTTAGCCAAATGCTAGCTTGAAGAGTTTCATGCATGGTTTCTTGTCCCCTTAATTCTCTTGCCTCAAAGGTGCTGCAGTAACTGTTTGTGAGGCCGTGCTGTGAACCGCATGAGGGAATTTGTAAGGCTGAAAAAAGATTCTCAGGTTTCAGGTGGTTTTTCATTTGGGCAGAGCAAGAATAGCTTAAAGGCCAGTTGCTGTGAATTAAGACTTCATCATCAAGTGAGCACATAGGTACGATTCTGGCTGAACTGGGTCCAGAAGGAGCAGCAATCATAGCATAGTACCTTAGGGCCTTACAGTGTTACATCACTGCGTGCTCTGAGCCCAGTTCAGCTTTCCATGAAGCTGGTGTGGGTTTTGCCATGGTTCTGAATGAGGCAAGAAGATTTTTCTTCATTTTGTATTGAAGGTGTGATTACATCTTGATTATAAGTCATTTGCAAAGAGCCATGTGTATTACAGATGGATCTTAGTGCACATGCACTTGTACATTGGAAAAAGGAAAATGATGGTGTGCATACACATCTACGTTAGGGCATTCATGTATCCAGGTATCCTTTTTCCATGCAGAAATTCTACAAGTCCTGTTGGACTTCATGGACAAAATCAGTAAATCTGGGGTGCATATCCGTATATGCTGCATGCCAATGTGCCTTCCACACAGAAGTTTGGCATCTGCAACAGCATTAATATTCCTCTGTTTTTTCTATTGAGTTGAGTTAATGTATTGTGAAGGTGGGATGTCAAAGCAATGCAAAACGTAAACATTATTTTTTAAAAAAAATTAAAAACCTGTGATATAATTAAACTGTAACTACAAGATAAAGAATGAACACTTATGGCTTTTACATCGATCCAGCGAAGATGATTTGCTTAAATTTGATACTGCTGTTCCCAATATGTAGGTCGCCTTCATGTCTGCTCTCCGTCGAGACCTGATAATGAGCCCCATTCATTGTTGTTCTTAATGCATTTGTATGATTTGTGATTTTCACTGTATGCTTTATGAGGAGTTGTGGCCTGAGAGTTGAACTGCTTCTCCCTTCACGCAGGGTATTTTATTCATAATGGACCAGCTATTCATTTATAGTCAAATTAAGTACCGTTCTGGTCATTAACCTTTGCTTTCATTCTTAATGATGTTTTTGTTGTCTAGCCACATGATATTTTCTTTGGCTATACCAAACGCACTTCAGTATTTTTGAAGTATCTTTTATATGTGAAGAACAAAACAATCTGTACTTTTGAAAAGGTGTTCAAAATAGACAGTGTGATTAAATATCTGATCCAGGAATTAGAAGACGTTCCTGTGGAAGTGATTGAGCTTGGAACAGAATCCACAGGCAGAGAGTAGGTACATGCAGGCAAACTGGCTCTTTTACAGTATCCTGCCAAGGGGAAGCAACATGAGGGAGAGAAGTCTGGTCGTAAGGAATGGGTCCCAGGTTGTGAAGGTAAGTATTAGCTAGATGAAACAGAAAACTCCCCTGCTAAGATTCTGATATCTGTTTTGGGGTATCTGCATCTACGTAAAGTAAGCATTTGCTGAAAGCTTTACATTTGAATAAAATCAAGTGTTGTTTGGTTTGGGGTTTTTTCCCACCATAGTGCTGATGTCAGGTTCACAGCAATTTCAGACAACTAAGAAGCTAACTTTCCGGTGCATAGAAAAATGTGAATTTCGCAGTGCAAAGCATTAACAGAAATGGCCCTCATGATATTCAGGGTATTTCTCTGTTAAACTGCAAGTGTTGATGTGAGAGCTTGCAAGGCAGGGTGCCTAGGAGAAAATACTCCCATCTCCAGCTTGCAGCCAAAGTAGCTTTGGCACGCACGAGAACAGTGACAAGACTCCACGCACCAAAAATCTTCTAAATTTGTAATGGTGTATAGTATTAAGAACTGAACAAATCCATATACCTTGTCAGCAGTATTAAGAGTATGCAGTTTTTTAAATCAGACATGATAGTTCTTTCCAAAGTTTCCGGATAAGAATAACAATTAAAGCTTGCTCCTTTCTGTATACATTAGATAGGTATAGGATATGTATACAGAATATGAAAATGGTAATCAGCTATGTGGTGTTGCTCACTGGGGGCTAATAATGCTGGACCGTATATTGGAACTGTAGTCCGTAGCTCAGATTTCTTATTTCTCTCCTGATACTTGCTTTCCCTGTATGTGATCTGTGAACGTTCTGATGAAATAAAATATAATGCTCCTTTAAGCCTAGCTCTTACTGGGATTTTGCTGTGCTTACCTACAGCATGTAGGCATGAACCTAACTTCTTTTGGTATTATTTGTGCAGCCTTATTTAAAAGCAGCCTTTCTCTTCTCTTGTAGGTTCAATGTGAAATTGCAGTCATGAATTAATTTTAACTGTCTTTTAGGCAGTCCGTCAGTGACACGGATAAAAAGTGCAGACACAGTGAACATTCACTACTTCTTGACTACTTCTTGTCTTGATTCTGATATTATTTCATTAAGTATATAAAGAATAGAAAATAAATATGTACCATAAATTTCTTTAAATCGTGGACAAAAATACCCAACCCTTTCTGTTGTAGTTCTGAAGCTCTGTTTTGCTTTACACAAATGTAAGTAAAACTAAAGCTCTGAATTTTGTCTGAAAACCTTTCTCAGCCTACACCTCACATCTGTTCTGAACTCTGTAAAGCAGCCAGTGGAAAGTACAAGTTGATGCTTTCCACTGAGCCAGGCTTTCTACCTTGATGCTGAGAAAAAGATTAAGTATTTAATGGGAATGGTAGAGGAATCTTTCCATTCCTCTGTACTTCTGTGCTATGAACAATGGCATTCCTAGATTGCAAGGATACATGATTTTCAATGGAAGAGATGGCAAGCGGTGTAGTGGCTTAGAACACTTGATATGCACTTTATACATCCGTGGCATGCCAAATCAGAACAGGACTTCAACGATACACAATACTGAGGTGCTCCCTTTGGAAATTAAAATTGTTCTGCAGCAAATGAGAATAAACCAAATGTCAGTTCTCTAGTCCAAAATCATAGAATAGGATCATAGAGTCATAGAATAGTTTTGCTTGGAAGGGAGCTTTAAAGGTTATCTGTTATCTGAATGCACATTAAAGTCTAGGTTTTAGAATAACTGATGTACAACACAAACACGGACAATTTTCCTTTACTGTGGTTGTGTGTGTTTGGATGGTAGTTGTACTACGAATGGGCAGCTAGCTGTTGAAAGAGCTGTTTGTGTCAACGTGGTTTGGGAGGCAAGCCTGTTTTCTCTAGCCCTCTCTGTGGCTTCACCTCCTTGTGTAAATAGTCCCCCCAGAGCAGATCAGTTTGAATAAAACTGGTTTCTTCTACTTCTTCAAAGCACTTGGAGCTCTGGGCTGTATCGATGCAAGCAAGGGTCTGGCCAGAATTCTTCTGTGTTGCTTCTGGAGATGGAGATGGGTGATATAGCAATACACACACATGATACCAAATAGCACAGAGACAGTGATACTGCCAGTGCAGTACCCATGAAACTAGTTTTGTGCTCTGTGTTACACCATGCCTCTGATCCAGCTTCCCCGAACCTCCACTTTCTTCTCCCTAAAGCTGCGGGGTATGACCAGCATATTGTGCCATACCACAGTCTGCTCCTTGCTTCCACCTGGCCAGAGGCAGTTGGAACTGAGCAGAGATGCCCGCTTTGTAGCGTTGTTCTGTTGGTCCCATGAAATGTTGCTGTACTGATGTTTCTTATGGCATCAGTATCACTAAAACTTTAAAAGCTGTAACTTCTTACTAGTTGGAGGGAGGTGATAGCCAAACTGTATACGCTTGACCTGCATCCCCTGAAGGTAACTGAAATCTAGTTCTAAATTCTTCTAGCTTTATTGAGAAACTTTTGATCCTCTGTCAAGTTTTGGTGTACAGGTTTGTTCTGTTGCCTGTTTTCTGTGTGCAGCTTGTGCGATGGGCCATGTTAGCTATGCCAACACAGCAAGCAGAATGGACAGGTGGGTGGCTGCTGAAGTTGGCTTAACCAGTATAACCAAATGTAAATGCAGAAGATGTCTTTGTTGAGGCTGTTGTGCTA